GCTGATGTTGTTTGTTATCTCATGTACCTGATTTCTAAAGAAGCTCATACTGTGCAATAGTGATACAACTCGAGCTTTTTGTCTTTTTGCTCTTTGGGTTGAAGGGAGATGATTATCATCATTGAAAATGGTTTTCAAAAGCATCTCGAATAGCCCAGGAGCTGCAGTATCGCAAAATGTCTCCATTTTTGTTGGATCCAACAGGTCTTCACCTCCATTTTGGGAATGGGTTAAAAAAGCTTTGTAAAACTTTAGAAATAAAGTTTCAAATCTTTCATTGCCTGGCAATAAAGTGAGTTAATTGATTTAAAAGTGTATCAGAATATAATCTGTTTTATGTCAAATAAATTACCATCAAACGTCTCCCTCAATGTTACATTTTCAGCTTCAAGCTGATCTTTGCTGTTCTTCAGATCTTCATTTTCATCCTTCAGACTTTGAATTTGAAGGAGAAGTGCTTCTTTATCATCATAACAAGTGTCCTCAATTTCGGTCACAGACTTCTGTTAGTCATAAAACGTTAATTTATTGAAAAAAATCCTAGGAGTTATTAACTATATTTATGTAACTATTTACCTTTCTTTTTTGAGGACTTTTGTATAAAGGATGCTGAAGAAATACTTCTAAACTATCAGCTTCCGACAAATGACGATGGCATATTTTAGTGCTCAYTTTTTTGGAGCCAAAGGATTCCATAACAGGAAACAATCGAGTAGGGCATTCTTTAAGAGATTGACCACAAGGACCAGGCAGGGGAAAACAGCATGTCTCATTACGTAACGCTTGCTGTCGATGCAATTTGCATAAGTAAACATTGTAAAGAAAACCACAAGCTCTTGATTCAAGACCAGAACAAAACGTCACAGGACCACTACACGTACTGTGAGAATTTGAGCTCCGTAAACGAGTAACTGATAATTCGCAAAACATAACTGTCCATTACTTTCTATTTTACATAGTACTCGACGAAAAAAAAAGTTGAAACTTTTTTCCCGTTCAGAGAAAACCCCGAGTTGCACGGCCGCGTCAAAGTTTGGCGGGAAAAATGCTCATAAAGGGCGCGAAAATGTAGCCCACACCGGAAGAGAATATATATAGACTTCAGATATACATTAAGGTTTATTAATTCACAATAAGTATAATTTTACCCAAACAAGTACATCTAAAACTGCACTAAGTATATTTGAATGCCAATTTTGTCTTGAACAAATGTTTTGATTTTTAGATATTATGCGATTTGTAGTTCAACATCGTATCATTTCTCTGGCCATTAATTGAACAAGCTGCCCATTACATATGTTGTTAATCAGACTATAATGTACAAAATATAAAAGTTTGAACCTTAGCACGGTTAGTGCGAGCTTATCCTGGTAAAAATTGTAAACGTCCTTCGTGAAGTTCACGAGCAGCTTCTTCTTGAGTTATCCAGAAAAAGTCCAATTACTCAAGCAATCGATGAATAAATGGCAGAAATATGAAGATATTTCGAATCTTTAAGGTCGTAGTAACGTCTGAGTGAAAGGAATTTTGGT